CGGCCCGATGCTGATCTCCGCGGTGTTTGCGCCGAACCCGATCCGCTCGCGGTTGCTTTCCATGGTATCACAGTGGTTGGGGCTTGAGGTGGATGCCAAGGTGGCTGCTGGGCGCTGTGGTGCGTGGCGAGGAGCTGACGCGCTGTGTAGGGCTGGTGGTGGATGTCGTGGTCAAAGAGTTCTCGCGCAGAGGCGAGTCGTAGCAGTACGCGTACTTGAGCTCGCTTTTCGCGTAGCCGACTGTGCGACGCTGGATTCGCCGACGAAGTCGTGATGTCCTGAGGGGAAGAATATGTAGTCGAGCACGAATGTACAAGGTATGGTTTGGAAAGTGAAATAACAGTGGATGGTGCAAGGGCAGTTTTGCATTCGAGGCTGGCCCCCTAGGCTGCCGCGGGCTTCTGGGCCCGAGGCTCCCCTCCTCCTCTCCTCCTCCTCCTCCTTCTCCTCCTCCTCCGCCCCGTCCTCCTCCTCCTTGTCCTCCTCGGTCTCGGGCTGTAGGCATCGGAATCCTGGGTCGGACGCTGACATACCCCTCCTCCTCTTGCTCCTCCTCGCCCTCTCTTCCCAAAGTGAGGAGGGGACAGGAGACAACACGCAAGCCTTTCGTCGTGGTCGAGGAAGAGGAAGGATGTGGGAGTGATGCTGGAAGGATGGATGATGAAGATAAAGATGAAGATGATGATGAAGATGAAGATGAAGATGAATACGAATCTGAATATGATGATGATGATGATGATGATGATGATGATGATGATGATGATGATGATGATGATGATGATGATGATGATGATGGTGATGGTGATGGTGATGCTGATGATGGTGATGATGATGGCGACAATGATGATGATGATGATGATGATGATGATGAGGAGGAGGAGGAGGAGGAGGAGGAGGAGGCGACGTGCTCGCAAATGGGGGTCTCGATCCACCGCCCGGGACTGGCTTCTCATGCCGGGTCGCTCCCTGGCAATCCCGGCGGCCCTGCGAGGGCACCCGGAGGTCTCAAACCGGCAAACGATCGCCCGTCGTGAGTTCTCCACGACGAGAGTGGGGCTCCTGCCGCTCCTCCTCGTGCCGAGCAGGCGCGCGCGCTCGGGCGCCCGGTGGCGCTCGGCGCCTTCTTGCCTTTCTCCCTCGCGACGGCGGGCTCGTACGGCTTTATCCTGCGAGGAGGCCGCCGCCGGCGCTGCCGCCGCCGTCGTCGCCATCGGCGGGGTCGCCGTCGTCGCAGCGATCGTCGTCATCGTCGTGGTCGTCCTCGCCGTTGTCGAGGAGGTCGAAATCGGCGGCGTCGTCGACGGTCGAGATCGTAAAAGTCGTAGCCACCATCGAAGTGGTCGTCGCAGAGGTCGAGGTCGTCCTGGAGGATGTCACCATCGATGTGGTTATTTTCGTTGAGGTCAACGCCGAGATGGTCGTCGTCGTCATCGCCGTTGAGGCCGTCGTCGTCGCCGTCGTCGTGGTCGAGGCCGCCGTCGCCGTCGTTAGAATCTTCGTCAACGTCGTCGCTGAGAAGAAGAAGAAGAAGCAGAAGGGGGATGAGGGGGAGGAAAACGAGACGGGGGAGGGGGGAGGTCCTCCGCCTCCTACGTCTTCCCTACTTTCCCTCCTCACTCCTGAGGTGATCAAAACTCCACGAGGTGGATTCGGATTCGGATGATTTCCCTCCTCCTGCGTTTTCCCGGGAGGAAGGGAGGGGAAGGAGGAGGGAGGAGGAGGGAGGGGGGAGGGCGAGGAAGGGGAGGGGGAGGAGGGGCAGGGGGAGAGCTAGTCCGTCAGAGCGAAGCTTGGCTGGAAGCCCGTGCGCCCCCCCCCCCCCCCCCCCCACAAAAAACAAACAAACTCTTGCTAGGGGAGGAGGGGGAGGAGGAAGGAGGGATCGAGGAGGAACCCGAAACGGGCGGGGAGGAGGAGGATGAGGAGGAGGAAGAGGAGGAGGAGGAGGACGAGGGGGAGGAGGAGGAGGAGGAGGAGGATAAGCAAGAGGAGGAGGAGGAAGGATGGATTGGTGAGGCAAATTCTGCTCCATCTCGTCGTCGTTGTCCTCCTCTTCCTCCTCCTCCTCCGCCTCCTCTTCCGCCTCCTTTTCCTCCTCCTCCTCCTCCTCCTCCGCCTCCTTCTCCTCCCTCTCCTCCTCCGCCTCCTTTTCTCCTCCTCTCATGTCCTCGCCCTTCTCCTCGCATTTACTCCTCCTCCTCCTCCTCCTCCTCCTGTTCCTCCTCCTCCTCCTCTAATTTCCTTTTCATCTTCAGCATCGGTTCTTCTGAAGAAAACTGGGCTCCTCTGGAAGCATCAGGGAGTGGATTGGGCCTTTCTCGCCAAACCATGGGGCCCTCCCGGACATCGCTCCCTTGCTATCTTTCCTCCTCCTCCCCCTCCTCATCCACCTCCATCCTCCGAGTCGTCATCCTCGTCTTCGTTTTCGTCCGCGTCGTCCTCCCCCGCCGTCGTCCTCGTCGTCCCCGTCGATATCCCCTTCTTCCTCGTGACGCGGACGCTGATGGCATCAGAATCCAATGGGATGCTGCCAGTCTTGGTGGGAGGGGCTCCTGCCGGGGATGGGGTCGTCGTCGCTGGAATCGTCCCCTTTCTCGACTAGGTCGTAGCCCTGGGAAGGGTTAGGAGGGCGGGCGGGAGGGGGGGAGGGAAGATGAGGGTGAGGAAGGGGAGCACGAGGAGGACAAGGAGGATGAACGGGAGAAACATCAGGGACGGGGAGCGGAGGAGGAAAAGGAAGAGGGGGGAACGGGGGAACAGGGAGCAAGAGGAGCATGAGGAGATGGACGGGGAGCACGAGGACGGGTAGGGGGAGGGGGAGCAGGAGGAACCCCTCCCCCCCTCCTTCCTGCAAGATTCTGCTTTGCAGCGCCTGGACTCGAATCCGCTGACCCGTTCGGGGCTACTCGGCCAGCGAGACACTTGCTCTTCCGCAAACCCCTCCCCCAGGAGCCTGGTCTGGTCGGCTCCGACAGGGGAGTCGCCCGCTCCAGATATGATCCCAGGCGGATTTCGATTGGCTCCAAGACAACTCCCAAGAGGGCCCCCAGAAGGAAACATCCTGCCAGTCCTTTGGGGAAGCGCGCATTTGTCCATAACCCTCCCGCGCTCGTCTTCGCAGCGTCCACGACTGCCCAGGAAGCATCTTGTTGCTCCAGAGCGGCCCGCGCGGCCCTTACACGAAGGCCCCATGACGGCCAAAGAAGCCTCCAAGAATGCCCCCATACGGCCCACGAGGCCCCGCCGGGCACGGTGGTAGCGCACGTACGAAGCACGAAGCACGTCCGCACATGGGCACCGTCTAGGGTGCTGCGGGTGCGGCGCTGGAGCGCCGGAGCGTCCGAAAGCGAGGCCTGATCAGATGTTGCCAGGGAAGCTGGAGATCTTGCTCTTGAGGCTGGAAGTCGAAAGCTGCTAGGGCTCCCAACTTCGCGCTTCGCGCTCCGCGAAGCGCGAATAACTTCGCGCCCTCGCGCCGCCCCCCCAAAGGGAGAAAAGGAGGACGAGGAGGAGGGGGGAGAAGGAACGAGGACCGCGAAGCGCGAAGCGCGAATAACTTCGCGCCCTCGTGGGAGCCCTTGAAGCTGGAGGTGGAAGCCTGGATGGTGGGTGGTAGCGCCCGTGCAGGTCTCATCCGCGGACCTCCCGGGAGATCCGCGCCGGCAGCCCCACGCGCCCGCCGCCAGCATGCTTTCGAGCAGGGGACGGGGCGTCCTGGCATTCCCGGGTGCCGACCGTGGGAAAAGGCGAAAACCCACCCCCACCCCCAGTCCCGCCCCCATTTTGGCGGTGCGCACGAGGGGGTGGAGGGAGGGGGGAGGGCTTCTTAGGAGGCTGCTTCGTAAAAGGCGCCGGCTTTACATCTATAGATCAGGCCCGCGCCTTCTAAGAAGCAGGGGTGCTTCTAAGAAGCCCTGCCCCCCCTCCCGCCGCTCCCCTCTGCGCGTGGCTGACCATTGCCGAGCCCGCGATTCGGGGCCGGGGGGGGGGGGGTTGAGGGTTTTAAACAAGAGAAAGCGCCCCCGCCCCCAGTCCCGACCCCTTAAATCGCCGGCTCGGGGATGTGGGTCGGGACTTAGGGTGGGGTGGGTTTGCGCCTTCTGAGCCATGAGATTCTCTTAGAACGGAAGAATCCTCTCAGGCACCGTGAGGGTCGAGTCGTCGTCCTCGTCGCTGTCGCAGTCGCCATCCGTGGGCGAGAGAAATCGAGCAGCGTCGCAGTCGAGTCGAACAAAAAACCCTGCCCTTTGATCCCTTCCGAGCCAGGGGCTGGGGAGGGTGGGAGGGGTGGGGGGTCCTGGGGGATATGAGCTCCCCCACGAGGGGAAGCACCCCTCCCTGGGAGAAGCTTTCCCCTTGGATTCCTCGCCTTCCAGACGCCTCGGGCTCCCCCCTCAATTGTCGGCGGCACCGGCCGTAGGGCCTTCACAACGACAAAAGCCCAGCCGATGTATTGCAAGAAGACGGTCTCAAGTAGAGATGTCCCAAATACACTCCGTGCAGACAAGCAAGGCTGGTCCTCCCTGGTGGGCCGGTCCTCTTTGGTGGGCCGGCCTTTTGGGGGGGAGGGGAGACGTGAGAAAAGGAGAGGGATGGATGGGAGGAGGAGGAGGAAGAGGAGGAGGAGGAGGAGGAGGAGGAGGAGGAGGAGGAGGGGAGGAGGAGGAGGAGGAGGAGGAGGAGGAGGAGGAGGAGGAGGAGGAGGAGGAGGAGGAGGAGGAGGAGGAGGGGGAGGAGGAGGAGGAGGAGGAGGAGGAGGAGGAGGAGGAGGAGGAGGAAGAGGAGGAGGAGGAGGAGGAGGATGATGAGGAGGAGGAGGAGGAGTGGGGGGAGGAGGAGGGCGAGAGGGCAACCACGAGACCAACAAGGCCAGTCTCGGCCAGGACCTGGTTCTCAGAGAACTCCTTGGCGGGCCAACAGGCAGGCCGTGACGCCTCGCCACTGCTCGGAAGGTCCCTTCCCCCGCGGCGCGAGGAGGGCGCCCAGGTCCCCCCCCCCTTCCTCCGCACTGCGCGCGGGGCGGCGCCGCGCAGTCAACCGATGGTCTCTCGCCGGCGGCCGCCGCCGCCGCGCGCGTCCGGAGCGGCTGCACCATCGGGCGCGGCAGCGACCCCTGCTATGTTCAGTGGAAGACAGAGAAGGAGGGACAGAGGGCTGGACCTAAACAGTGTTGTTCGTTTTCGTTTTGTTTTCGCTGTCCCTCGTTTTGTCTTGAATTCGCATTCGCTGCAAAAGGAACTCGAACTGAAAACGGCCCACGAAATCGCCAAAACACCGTTTAGGTCCAGCCCTGGAGGGAAAGAGGGAAAGAGAGAAAGCATTTCCAGCTGGGCTTCCCTGGTTGTGGTGCCGCACTTCTGATGGCATGTATACCCATCGGTCGGAAGAAGTAGGTAGAAACATGAAGTAGGCACGCGTTGAGAGTAGATGGGGTGTCCGCCCGCCCCCTAAGGAGGATGGACAAAAAGTGAAGCCGCTCGATCATTGAAGTAGGAAGGCGCTTCAAGTAGATTGGAATCTGGGAATCCCAAAGTACCTACTTTCAACGACCCATGGGTAATGATAAGATGCGCGCGTGCTGGCAAGACAATGTGGCCTGGACAACACCCGGGACAACCCCGCAAGAATCTGGACAACCACCACCCGAACAACACCCCGTGGACAAAACTCTGCAAGATTTTCTTCCATCAGATACAGTAGCCAAGTCATTCCATTCCGTGACGTCACTCGCTTGGGCGATGAAGTGGCAGGGGGAAGAAAGGTGCCCTCTCGGGGCCCTCGAGGTCCCCTTCCGCTCCCCAAGAGGGCCCCTTGAGGGGCCCTCAAGGCCTCCTCCTCTGCAGCCCTCGCTGCACCCCCCCCCAGTGATCGCCCTCCCATGTATCGCCACCTTACCCTCGCCTTTCAAGCTGCCCTCCGGCCGCATGCATGCGATTGGGAGCGAAACACAGGGGACGCCACGGCAGGGGATGACTTGCTAGGGGTCGGTTCGGCCGCCCCTGACGGCAGGGGCAGGCGCGGCCAGCGTGGGCGACCTCGGCGTCGCGCTTTTTTCGCACAGCGGGCGCTCTTGCCACGTCTCGGGCCCCGCAGGGCCCGCACGGATGGATCCGGCTCGGGGCATGCCGAGGGAGGACGCCGTCGGCCCGCATCCCGAGGATGCGCGAGAAGGCTGCGAGGGCCGTGGACGCCCGTGTCGAAGCTTCTCCAGCGGGGCGCGGGCAACGAAGGTGGCCAAGAAATCGGCAAAACACCGTTTATGTCGAGCCCTGTTCAAGGGTACCCTTCGGAAACTCGCCCCTCCTTGCCATGCGGGTTGACCGCATGGGGGCCGGGGCCCTGGCCGAGTTATGTTTTGGGCGGCGTCGGAGCTCCTCCGGGCGCCGGATCGCCAGGCGCGGCAGGCTCGTGCCGCGACGGCTCCGAGTGCTGGCCACTGACTGAAGGAGCCCCAGGACACACAAATAAATACACACAAATCAAGATAGTCCCCATATTTTCCCATATTTTCTGGGCTGTTGTCTTCCCACCCACTTCCCACATTTTCCCATATTTTCTGGTGAATCGACGATTCATTGTGTCTGTATGATTTTTCCCCTCCTGACTGACACTGCGCGGACCGTTCAAGCCTGAACGACGGGCGGCTCTTCGATCCCCGATTCCCGCATGTTGGCCGATGCTGGGCCGCTGGTTGAGTATCGTTTAACCGATCCCCATCCCCAGCGGCGTGGCCTGGGCCCCACTGGCCGATTTAGCTCCCTAGATGGGGAGATATATGGGCCGTATCCCTTGGGTTTCGAGGGATGCATCCCCAACTGGGGGGGCAATTTGGCAGGGGTCTCGAAGGGGATGGGGATAGGGATGGGGGTCGTTTAAACGATACTGACTGGTGGCGCTCAACCTGGAACGCCCGCGGCGGGGCCGCTGATGCGTCGACACGACACGGACCTACCGCCGCACGGGGCTGGCTGGTGGCCCAGAGGCTGGCGTCGGGTCCCGCGGGAGAGAAGGGTCTCGGAGCGCATCTCCCTCGGCTGGAGCCTCGCGGATGGCCTCCAGGTTGGGTTCAACCCAGCGCCGGGCCGAGAGGAGGCGATGAGCCTCGGGAGGGGGGAGATCCCCACCTGCCAGGGCACATCTCTCCCTCCTCTCCACGACACGGCGCTGGGCATCGAGGCGGGGCGCCAGGGGGGGGGAGGGGACTGGCCAAACGGGGGGCAACGTCGAGCAGAAATCGGCGACCCGTCGCCGAAAGATCGGCGGGTGGGCCCCGGCTAGCGAAAGCCACGTTCCTGGGCGGGGCGGACTATGATGTCGGGCCTCTATCGGCGATTACCGTTGGGGCGTCGAATACTACAGTATCAACTCCCAGAACCATTCTTCCTGTAATGTAGAATGGGCATGAGTGGGGGTGCGGTGGGCCGGAGCGACGGGATTGAGAGGAGGAGGAGGAGGAGGAGGAGGAGGAGGAGGAGGAGGAGGAGGAGGAGGAGGAGGAGGAGGAGGAGGGGAGGAGGAGGGGGAGGAGGAGGAGGAGGAGGAGAAGGAGGAGGAGGAGGAGAATGGGGGAGGCTTCAGCAGTCAACCATGGGGTGCGGTAAGTAGTCGGCGATCGGGGGGTCGATGCCGCCGCCGCCGCCGCCGCGCCGCTGGG